CTCTGCCACACCGATATAGCCACAGCTCAAGAAAATGCAATGCCTTTAATTGTCGGTCAGCACTAGAGACCCAGTGATTTTTTTCGCCTCTTTCCTACGGGGTTCTAATCGCGCCGATGAAATCTCTTGATCGACACTGGGTTGCGATGGCAATCCCGAGAATCGATCACACTGATTATTGCAAGTCTGTTATTAAGGCTGAATTGAAAAGATTGAACGGGAAGAAAAATGAATGATTGAAAGGGAGAAAAATTGTATGAACACTTTCTAAGACATGTCGTGGGCTCTTTTGAAAAGAGTGAGGATGAATGTGGGACTGTGGTGGATAAAAGGAGGAGGGTAACCGGTGGGGGCAAACGGTCAAACATCGCTGTGGAAGCACCGATCATCCATCATAACTGAGAAAATATGACCACTGTTCGACCCAGACCCTCCCTCCACTAGATGTGATTGAAAAGCTGAGGATTACGTAAAATTTTTTGGAGTTTTTTGATTCGTAAGCGGAATATTCGTGATAGAGATGCAAATAACAGAATTCCATTATTATATTATATTATGACGCGGAGCGTCGTCAAATTTCACTCTACGCACAATCTTTTTCAATTTTTTTCCCATTTTAAATGCAGAAATTTCCAATCCTCTAATTTGGAATAGTAATTCTCATAATTCTTCGACATGAGATTGATTTTGGAATTTTTCCAGCTTTAGAATTACAAATTTAAAGAAAAAAAAAACTATTTCAAAAATTCATTTTTATAAATGAACTAATGTTAAAATTATTTGACCTTTCGGAAACATTATTTTTGCGGCGTGAAGTATATTCCTCATAAAATTTTGAATATGGAACAACTCTTTAATTATTATGTGTATTTTCTAAAAGTAGAATCTCTAATTTGCTCTCAGATTTTTTATGTTTTACTTAAAGGGAGAGTGGGATCTAGACTTGAAAAATTTGAGGATCTCCAAGTATTTTTTACAGTTCCGCGCGGACCGCCCAATAGCTCTAGAGATTTTTAGTTATAAAATTTGTAGATTAAAATGCGTCAGAAATTTTGGAGAAATTCATGAATAATCAGCAGCACTGGAATTAAATTTCAGAAAACACAAATAAACAATGGAAATTGTTGAAACCTTCAGTACCTTATTTTTTTCCACAAAATCTCCTAGCAGAATTAAAGATACATCAAAATTAGTTTCGAGGCCGCGAAAAGTGATTGCTAAATGCACAAGTGATGGCTTATAAAATAAATAACCCATCAAATGTCACCTCCCGTGAAAAAAAAAAGTTTGCCTAAACCTTAAAATTTTAACTAAAATAATTGCAAAATATTTTTCAACGTCAGGTCAAACGTGGCTTAAACGGAAGCTCTGATCTTCAACTACAAATTTTGAAATTCTCTCCAAAATCTGTAATTGAACATCAAATCTGTAAGTCAACAGAAAAAGGGCCGAGGCATTCGTATATGTAGGGAAGAGTGAAGGTTGTGAGCGGTACCGTTGAAAAACATAACATCAGCCGGAGATTCCTCGGCCGTTCGAGTATTTCACGAGAGCTCGATGAAATCAGCTGGGCCTAGGCGATTGTCAGCACTTTTGGGATGATTAATTAATTGAATAAGAGGAGGAATTTTCATCGATGGCCCACCGATGCCCCAATTTTAGGTCATCCACAAAAATTCTTCTTGCTCAATTGATTAATCACTCTGAAAGTGCTGACGATCTTTCAGGTCAAGCTGATTCCATCGGAGCATCATGCGCACGACAGCTTGTTTTGAAATCAATTACGGTAATTCTTTGAAAAGTACCGGGGCAAAACAGGCCGTTCCCAACGGTATCTCTTGCAATCATTAATCACACTGAGTTTTCAAGAGGAATTGTCCCTCTGCGAATGCTTCATTATGAAAAAAATTGAAAAATAAGTGAAATGATAAATAAATGAAATGACGATGACATTTCCCTGAAACCAATACATTTTTCCCCGCGTTAACCAGTGAATTAATTAAAAGTCACCACTAGAATTAATCGCGCAACACAGCAAAATGAACGAAGCCCTCCAAAAATATTATTAAATCAAATAGCCCCCATAAACTAATTCACTACAAATTGAAGTGCTTCTGCCAGCAATTATTGTTATTTAATCGATGTTACCCATAAAAAAAGTACAAACTCGATTAGACATTTTGCGGAATGGTTGAATAAGCACGCTTCGTCTCACTCAATAAATAGTATCTTATCTCCTGAAATGACTTTTTTATCTAATTAATTGAATTGGACACGAGATTCCAAGGAAGGCACGAGCCCCAACAGTCCGAGAGACCCATCACAAGAAGAGGAGAAAAAAAAAACAAACAAGGTAGAGGGGAAGAGAGTAAACTGGGCACGGAATTGTGGCTTACCGCCATGAAGGCGCGCAATAGATACTTTCACCAATTTGTAATCATAAATCAAACGGCATCGAATCCATCGATTTTACCCGATCACCGATATTCGCTGTTTCCCAAGCTCCCGACACTGCTCCAAAAGCAGCTCCCTTTTTATTTACACACACGAGACCATCGTCACAACGATAAATGAATAAAATAAATATCTCCATGATCGATGATCCATCACTAAAACCACCATAAATTGACGATCACTTTGTTGCCATAACGGTATATCGAAAAAAAAAAGTAACACAACCGTCCCTCTACATTTCGTCATAAATATACCCCGTGGTCTCTAATGCTCGGCAAGTATATACATTAACTTCAACTTAATTAGCTCGTAATGTATGCTCCCCCTCCAAGCGTATCAGCATTCCCTGATTAAATAAACTTGGGACTAAAATAACCGCAGACTCGTAAGAATCACGATTTATTTTTCAATCCTACCGTTTCCCATTAATAATTGCCGCTGTCTCCATCCCCCCGCATCGATATGAATAAAATGCCCCGAACAATGGAGAAAATACCCAGTCCTTTGACAAATCACGCAAGACAAGATAAAACGGTTAAACAGGTCATGAGAATAATCATCAATTTTCTCCCCTTTCCCAGAACCCATAAAATCAAAATAAATTGACAATCACAATTTATCCACCTCCCGCTAGCCTCCATAATCCAGAACATTTGTTAAAGTCAGTGACTAATAACCGGAAGAAACACTAACGGATTTGTTACAACACGGGCCCAACATTGTCCCGACGCTGCATGTCGACCCCGCGAGACACCTAATGAAGCCTCTCCCGCTCATTGAGAGGAAAAATAGGGGATCATCTAAAACCACACATATCGACATTGCCTCCACCTAGCGCCCGTCCTTCCTTCCATCACCTGAAATTCCTGGGTCTGTCCATCTCTCTTGGCATCGGTTTGTCCCCCCCCCCCCCGGCCCCTCCGCGCATTATTCATCTCGCAGTGCGTTTCTATCCCTCTCATTCTTCCCCTTTTTTTCTCTCAAAAAAATACGACAGGGGTATCCGTCCGCGGAGTGAAGAGAGAAGTGCGCGACGCACACAGGCGCAGGGCAGCAGTGAGGTAGTAAGGCCCGAAGAACTCGGGGTACTATGGTGCCTCCATTCGGCCATCTTGAATACCTGAGCCTCCGCATTGCTCGTTCCTCGAGGGCAAAAGGTAGAATATCTCCGGCAGAAAAGAAGTCTCCGGTTGAGGATGTGTGAGCGCGCGAGCGCGCACACCGATGGACTGACTGAGGTGAGATGGAAAAATAACTGGGCATGAGGGACCGAGTGGGAGAGAATGAAATGATGAATAGAGAGAGGAGTGAGGGAAAAGTTGTGGATGCCCGTTGGGGCCCCGATGGATCGGAGAGGGACGACGTCGGGGTCTGGAGAGAGGGGCCCCAAGAATGCTCCTCTTTCTTTTTAACTCACATACACGCGCATACCTGTGGGATAACTCACACTGTTGTGGGCCCCTAGGTAGGCACGAGAAAACGGGGCCCCCACACTGTACAATCCACCGGTTCAGTCGTGCTGGGTCAGTCCGCGGGATAAGTTGACTCTGATCCTTTCTCCTCGGGTTTTTACACGTTTATTACAGAATTACGCTCACACGGCATCGTGACAACACCATTTTATAATCAATCATTAATCATTAACTCGTGGGTAAAACATAAATTTCTAGCATTATCACGTTTTATCGTCTATAACCGTGGATTGATATATTGTTTTGGTTTTTGTGCTGTGAGAGTGAGTGATCGTTGTGATTGTTGTGGATTCAAGATTGTTTATTACCGATATGAGAGATAATGTCAATGGGAAATGACACACGGAAGTTTATAATGCGCGATGGGAGATTGGTTATGTTATATACAACGTGCGATTCCTCCTGAGATGTACCGTTTCGCTGCTCAGATCGCCGATCGACTGTGACGAGTGTCATCTCGAGCGAATTCCGTTGGTTCAGCCGCTTTGATAAGTTGTCCACGACGTGCTCTCGGGGGTTTTAACCGGGGGAAAAACGTGATTCAACGATAAAAGAGTTTAAAACGGTCGAGGGAGAAGGAGAAAAAGCTGGGGGGGAGGAAGATATTGGACGGGGAAAAAAATACACGCCGAACGTCGCTTTGATTCCTAGCGTCAATCTTTATCGTGACTAGAGGTAAAACGTGGAGGCAAGAAGAAGAAGCGTCTCTTGGAGGAGCGGCTGTTGGGGCCCGGTCAGTGCCCCCACCAAGTGCAGTGAGAATTCTCGTGGCGTGTTTACTCGAATTCAGGTGTAATTCAATAGTAATATATAATCGGCATGAGTCTCCATGCCAGAGGGGAGTCGGGTAGCGCTTGAAATACTGAGGGACATGTCAATATAAACGGTGGAATCTTCACACCAGGATGAAAATTCGCTTGACAATGACGAAAAAGTGTGAAAGGTAGTGGATTTAACAAGATTGAAGAGGGACAGGGTCAGGGGAAAGTAGAGATGTGGAGTGTGACAGTCCTCGCCCTGGTCCTGGGACTCGTTTCACCAGGTCGTCATGCCCTGGCTACAGATGACAGAGGCATGCCACAGAAAATGGCGAGGCTCGTGCCAAGGAGATCACCTATGCTACCGCAGGATGGTAGTATGGGGCTTGCTATGCAGAGTAGAGCAGTTGATACACGAGTTCAACTGGGTATTAGAGAGGGTGAACCGGAGGGCACACTTGTTGGCACAATACCAGTGAAGCCGGACTTCACGTACAGGTTCAACGAGCCCCCGCAGGAGTTCACGCTGGACCCGGAGACGGGACAAATTAGAACCGCCAAAGTGCTGGACAGAGAGGCACTGCCGAGTGACAAATTCGATCTCGTTGTTCTCTCGAGTCAGCCGACGTACCCCATAGAGGTCAGAATTCACGTCATAGATGTCAATGATAATGATCCGGAGTTTCCAGAGTCGAGTATAGCTGTCAGCTTCTCGGAGTCAGCTGCTGCTGGAACGAAATTACTCCTTGACGCTGCTACCGACAGAGACACACCTGAGAATGGTGTTGTCGATGATTATTTCATCGTCGACGGCAATACCGATGGGAAATTTCGTCTCGATGTTACGGCTAATCCCAGCGGTGAAACGACGTATCTTCATTTAGAGACGACTGGCAAACTTGACAGGGAACAGGTTGAATTTTATTCCCTAAACGTGTGCGCGCGGGACCGTGGCAAACCCCCGAGACTCGGTTATTTACTCGTTAATGTTACGGTACTTGACGTCAATGACAATCCACCGATTTTCCAGCAGAGTGACTATGTTGTTGCGCTGAATGAGAGTGCACCCGTGGGAACAAATGTTCTGACTGTTAAAGCTACTGATAAAGACACCGAGGACAATTCGAAATTAACGTATTACTTGCCGGACAGCGAGGGACAGTTTACAATTGATCCTGAAACTGGTGCTATTACAACAGCAGAAGCTCTCGACTGTCCGCAGCAGAGTTGCACCGCAACCAGACCCGGTGGTAGTTGTCCAAAGAGCTGTGTAATAACTGTTTTCGCCCGGGACCACGGCTCACCACGCCAGGATGGCAGAACTTACGTAACAGTTAATCTACTCGATGCTAATGATCACGATCCAGAAATAAAATTCAGCTATTTCCCGGCAACAGCTGGATTCGCAACAGTGGATGAAAATGCCGCTAAAGATTCAATAGTGGCGGCCGTTGCTGTTGTTGACAATGACGAGGGTCTCAATCGTGAGACAAGCGTGGAGATTCGCGCTGGCAATGAGCTGGCTCACTTTCGTCTCGACAATACCCAGAGCTTCGACATTGTACGGGTTAATGGTAGACTCGATCGTGAAGAAATTCCAAAATATAATCTCACAATTGTTGCCACTGACAAAGGAACACCGCCAAGATCGGCAACGGCATATCTCGTTATACATGTTAACGATGTGAATGATCATGATCCAGTATTTCAACAGAGTGAATACTCAGCTGTGCTGTCTGAGCTGTCGCCAATCGGCAGTTTTGTGGCAAGTATTTCAGCGACTGACGCTGACTCCGGTCTCAATGCAAGGATTTACTACGACTTTGACACGGGCAATGAACAATCGTGGTTTGTAATCGATCAGGACACGGGTTTGGTAACAACAGTGGCAACACTCGACCGTGAAATTCAGGGAAGCATTGAGTTGAGGGTCACTGCCAGGGATGGTGGGCCAAATCCGAGGTATGCATCGACCCACCTGAGGGTCACTGTACTTGATGAGAACGACGAGGCCCCAAGGTTCAGTCAGAGTATCGTCGAAGTAACATTATCCGAGAATACACCACCGCACAGTTTAGTGGCAACCCTAGCAGCTGTTGACAATGATCAAGGGACAAATGGAAGTATTGCTTACAGCTTACACCCAAGTGTCCTCAGGGATTATCCCAAGACATTTGCTCTTGATGCGCTCACGGGACAATTAACAACGAAAATTCCGTTAGACAGGGAAACAGTCGGCGATTACCGAGTGCTAGTGGTCGCGCGAGATCAAGGAACTCCACCGCAGTCATCTACAGCTACTGTTTTACTTTCACTGGAGGACGTTAATGACAATGCTCCTGTATTTTATCCAAGGAGTTATTTAATGCCAATTCCGGAGGACACTGCACCGGGCACTGCGATTGGAAGGGTCACAGCAACGGACGCTGATGCCAGGGAAAATGCACGAGTGAGGTATACACTGGAGTCCGGTGGTGAGGGATTATTCAGTGTTGATGAGAGAACTGGGGAAATTACACTCCAGGGATCTCTGCGTGTTGCACAGAAGACCCTCTACACACTGACAATATCGGCTAGGGACAAGGGGAATAGAGTAGCTGCTAAAAATGCAGTAGTCGAAATTTTGAGACGAGAAGACTTAGAACACTTAGAATTCGATACCTACAATGGCTACGAGTTTAAAATTACCGAGGACAGGGGTGACTGCACTGACGTCTCCCCGGGATACAACCGGGAAGTCGGCTCTGTCCAAGTAACCCACTTCGCCACATCGAAGGTGTCTTACGCAATAGTTTACGGAGACCCTCGTGGCAATTTCAAGATCGATGAGCATTCAGGTGTCATATCAACAGCTGGGTGCCTCGATCGTGAGGAGGTTGCTTACTACAGCCTCCGTGTAACAGCAAAAACTGGTCTAGCGCGGGGAATGACTTCTGTTAACGTGACAGTCCTAGATGTCAATGACAATCCACCTAAATTCCGAAAAGGAGAAAAAGGCGATGAGGTTTTGCTGAAGGAGAACGCCGCGGTGGGGCAGGAAGTCTGTCTGGCGAGAGCGCGAGACAGAGATGTAGGCGTCAATGCTAGAATAACTTACACACTGACGCACAATCCTGGGGGACAATTTAGGGTAGCCGAACACTCGGGTATTATTTATTTAGATAAACCTATCAGGGCTTCTCCGGGTACAGTGCTAACGCTGGAAGTCACTGCTGTGGACACTGGTGCACAGCCTCTCTCGGCTCAACATCAAGTGAGAGTAACGGTTGAGGATGTCAATGATCACACACCAGTGTTCAAATTACCGAGCTACGAAATTTCACTGCTGGAATCAACTCCAGTGAATGAAAGATTCTTTGCTCTTCGCGCATCCGACACAGATCTCGGCGCTAATGGTAGAGTTCTGTACAGCGTAACTGATGGAAATCAAGAGGAAAGATTTGGCATATTTCCTGACGGTCAATTATACGTCAAACACTCCCTCGATCGTGAAGAGCAGGACTATTACGCGTTGGAAGTAACAGCCAGTGATCAGGGTGTGCCAAGTCGAAGCTCAGTGGTACCCGTTGTTGTGCACATAATTGATGAGAATGACAATGCACCGCAATTTACAAATTCCTCCTTCACCTTTCACATACGCGAAAATGAACCACCGGATACATTTGTTGGTAAATTACTTGCAGCTGACAGAGACGTGGGAAGAAACGCCGATCTGACGTTCTCATTACCATCAACCCAACAAGACTTTATTGTTGATCCGAGGAATGGTTTTATCAAGTCACTTCATGTTTATGATCGCGAGCAGTTGGTCGCCAATACAGGCACCAGTCATATCAGTCTGGAGGCAACAGTCACTGACAATGGTGTCAATCGTTTGCGTGATAAGGTTAAAGTTACGATTTACGTAACTGACGTTAATGATAATGCACCGCAATTCCAACGTCTACCCTATCGCGTACAAATTAGTGAGGGTGCTACAATAGGCACACAACTGTTGAGGGTCTACACGACAGATGCCGATGAGAAGCTCAATGGGGATGTATTTTACTCCCTCGAGGATGGCAATCAGCATGGCAGATTTGTCATTGACGAGGCGACCGGTCAGATATCCCTCGCGAAAAGCCTCGATCGCGAGACCCTGGACAATTACGTATTGACCGTAGTGGCTCACGACGCGGGGTTAGAGGTGAGACTCTCCTCGAGTGCCACAGTGACCATTGAAATTCTCGATGAGAACGACAACGCCCCGAAATTCATCGACAACAAGTCGCAAATATCGGTGATCGAGACAACACCAATTAACACAGAATTGCTGAGATTCAAAGCCACTGATGACGACCTTGGTGCAAACTCGGAGTTGACCTTTGGTATCACCGCAGGCAACAGGCGAGATGCGTTTCACATTGACCCACTCACTGGCGCTTTATACCTGAGGAAACCTTTGGATTACGAGGAACTTGAGAGTTACACGTTGAACATAACATGCACCGACGGAGGTCACCCGAAGCTCAGCTCAGTAACAACGCTGAGGGTCGATGTGATTGACGCCAATGATAATCCACCGGCATTTCCCAACACAGCTATTGTACGTCAAATTAGAGAGGGAATAACTGTGAGAACACCTGTGCATTCTGTAACAGCGGAGGATCCTGATTCTGGGGAGAATGGGGCTGTTACTTATGCAATAGCCAGTCAGGATCCGCAGGACGACAGGAGGCACTTTGGAATCAATCCGACAACTGGAGTCATCCACACACTGCTTCCGATAGACAGGGAAGAGGTGGACACTTTTAAATTAGTGGTGGTGGCCACGGACAGGGCGCAGCCACCTTCGGCGAGGCTATCAGCCGAAAAGCTGGTGATTGTGATCGTTGAGGACTTGAACGATAATGCGCCGATATTCGTCAGCATGTCGGCAGCGGTATTACCCTCCAAATCGAGCCTCAACTCCAATTTGGGGAAGGAGATCCCGGTGTCTCGACTCCTAGCCCGCGATTTGGACTCCAGCACCAACGGGCTGGTGACCTACGAGCTCATGCGACCGAGTGTCAACTTTTCGGACATGTTCAAGGTCCACAGGAGCACCGGAGTCATCACAATGAGGCTTCCCAAGACTCTGAAGACTATGGAGAAGACCTCCAGGTATCAAATTGGGGTCAGAGCCACTGACGAAGCTGTTCAAGCTGAACGCCGATCGTCAGAGACTTACCTCACCCTCATTGTACCTGGTGAGAACGATGACAAACCTGTTTGGGATCATCATGGGCCTCTCGAAGGCACTGTGTACGAGAATGAGCCACCTGGCACAAGCATACTACGAGTGAGTGCACATTCACGAAGATCTGGCGTTGATATTGAGTACTATGTGACAAACGTAACTGCTGGCAGTGGTGGTGAACAAGTGGATAGACTGTTTGACGTTGATATTAAGAGTGGACTGCTGCAAACTTCCGGAGCCCTTGATAGAGAGACTGGCGTCGAGTGGTACGAGGTGGAGATTTATGCTGTTGCTAATGGTGGCGAAAGACCCAGTACTTCATTCATCAAGGTAAGAGAATAAATAAATAATAAAGTGCAACTAAGGTTGTTTTTGCATGATATTTTGGCGCGATTTTAATTAAGGGAATAAGGTGAGCGATGATTGATGACAAAAGGAGTAAAACTCATGAATTTCTTCATTCCTCGAATAACGTTTTAATTAAGAAAAAAATTTCTTCTCCCCCTCACCGTGTGATCGACTTTTGCGACACTCCGGAGTGATTAATGACGAGATACGTTGGGTAATACACGTTACTAGGGTGAAAGTCCTCACCAACACCCGTGTGGAAGCCATTACATCATGTAAATTACATGCAAATTCGGTGGTAATGCTTCCGATACATCTCGAAGAGAACGAGAAACTTTGATCTATGAGGCCAGATGGCGATAATAGAACCGTAACCTCATAATCATAATCGGGAGATACTCTTTTTTATTTATTTCAAAAGGGATGTGGGCCTTTTTTTCAGCTGGCTTGGGGCCTCTTGTGTGATGACTTTGACCTCAACGCGACGTTTCAATTATTTTCACGTCGTAATCACGTATATTCGGGATATGTTCTCTCTTTGTCCAAAAGCGACTCGAATTCTCTTCATCATCTTTAAAAACGAATTTTTCGCCAGTGGTCCGCAGCGGATACCCATTCAAGTGGCCAAAAAATCTAATAAGAACATTGACAAATAGTAAAAAACAATGTATGAAATAAGAAGAAATGTTAAAAGCGCGTTCCGTGGGTACTGCGGACGAAATCGATTAGACTCATGTGGTTCGCACCTCGAGGCGTGGTCGGCGTGATCACACGAAATAACTAAATGTGAAGTGGTGGAGTGAAAGAAGTATATGGTGGTGGTAGGTGATGATAAAGAGAGAAGTTGCAATATTGTGGTTGAAGGGGAGTGAGGGGGGTGGGGACAGGAGGAGGGAATGGACCCTCTGTGTTTTACGAGTGACCATCTCTCGGTATATATAACACTTGGGTGTATAACTCGTGACGTACAACGGAAGCCTGATGACGAGTCCCTTTCGCAAAAGTATAATAAGAAAGAAATGAAGTGAGCGTCAAGGAAGGGTGAAAAATGTAAAAAAAGGGGAAGGAGGAGGGTTCTTTTTCTATAAAAAAGGTGAGTCGTTTGTGAGGATAACGAGTGGTTACACGTAACTCAAGTTAAATCAATCCTGAGCACGCGATTCTTTAGACTCAAATAATCTAGATATTTCAGTTGCGATTAAATATTTAATTACGAGTGATTGTCGGTGTAAAAACAGAGTCCTCCTCGGTCCCTCTTATCCGGCTTTCTTAGTTCTCGTATCCTACGGTCTTGCTCTTTCTACTGGTTCTGTAGCACAACAGAACAGAACAAAGACGAAATCGCCCGCGTGCCAGGAAGTCAAGTCTTGCGGACAAGGAGTCGGTTTGCCGTTGGGGGCTCGGTGATGCGGTTCGAGAAGGGCTTTATATTGGATGAGAAAAACTTGATCTTACCCGGAGAAGTGAACTCGTACGATGACGAAGAATCGAGGAGGGAGGGGGATATCTCTGTCTATCGCGTGGGACCAAATGGCTGAAGGTAGCTCTCTACAGGCGCTCAAGAGCCAGCGTTTCCATGGTTTTTTGTTGATGTATTTTTCGACCTCTTACCGGAGGGGGCCCATCTCTTCACTGCATTGCTTTTATTCCATCATGCCGGGGGACACTTATTTCGTGCATTTTGATAAAATTATTTGTTCTTGCGGGGCTTTAGTCGACATCCGAACGGGCTGACCTTTTTTGCGGTCGAGGGAGTCTTTATGAATATGTTGGGAGTTACATGGATTCTATGGGGGGAATGCTCGGTAATTCCGAGATGGTTTCAATCATTTTTCGGCGAAATTCCAAATTTTCAAGCTCTAAATCCTGAATTCATTGAGAATCTGTGGATAAATTTACCCTAATTTTACAGATTTCTATTCCATTCATTTGATTTTCTCATCAAATTGGGAAATTTCAGTGGAACTGCCACTTGACAAAAATATTCGAATAATGTCGGAATTCCTTCACTCTCGGTGAAGAGCGAAATAAAATAAAAAATATTTGCGTACTTGTCTAGATGTTTCAAGAATTTTTCAACACTTAAATCAACTTTTTTTTTCATCAGTGGATAGAACCTCATGTTCCTCGGCTCCTTCATTTTAGGTAGACCCGGAGAAATCTTATTCCGAGAGATTGTTTGGAGCGATAAGCTTGGGATATTGGGAATTAATTTGGTGGATGAGTTTATTGATTGTCACAGTTTCTAACGGGCGTGATTACTCATTGAGGAAAATATGTTGAGGATCAATTTTTCATTTTTATTTATTCAATCTCTCCCGCACTCATTGGACATGAAGAAATATTTGACTAACCGGTATATATAGGTGGTTTGTTATTTTTGTGGCTTTTTTTTTATCTTGGTCCCGCCTCATTTGCATCTTTTTTTCGTATGGGTAGCCTCCTGAGACAGAGTAAGGAATTATTGGTAATCGGAGGATTCGTTTATCAGTGTTTCTGGTCCACTCTGGTGAACACTGAAATGTAATCAGGGAGGTGAGGTGAATTTTTTTTTCCCCCCACCGAGTTAATGTATGTGTGCACCTTGGAATCTTGTTTCGGTGTTACAGTGGTATGAGAGGAAGAGAGTTCCGCCTACTTATATTGATGTACATATTCCCAACTACGCGTGTTTCGTTTGGATAGATTTTATCTCTGAAAACTAAGCACCACGCAACTACTGTTCCAACGGTAACACACGCTATTGACTCGCACCTATCCTATCGTATAATATAACAACTGCGGAAGGAGTCTCATCTTCCACGGAATCTTGCAAATTACACCGAAATATATTTTATTGAGATTTTTTATTTTCCGCACGGTCTTTGTAACTCTAGAGTTAATCTGAATATGAGAAGATGAGATGTTTTCGTTTCGTAAAAATTGCGTATTTTATAGGCAGAATTGAGTTACATGGGAGTGATGGAAGGGGAAGTGGTGGAGATGGGAAGACGGGGAAATTTCCGGTTCCGCAAGGCGGTTGTTGACCTTCGGAAATCATTCGTGGGAGAAAAAATTCAGGGATTGAGAATGTTACGGACTGCGGCCTCTGTTTAGGGTTTTTTTTTGTTTTTTAATGGTGTTTTGGGCGTTTTTGGATGTTTGGAGGATATCATAACTCATAATGTAAAATATTTTGTTCCTATCATAGTCATAAGCGATGTGAAAAAAGTAGGAATAATTACCCTGGGGCGGATGGTAAACGTGTAGCGAAATATTCCTATTTTATTCTGAAAAACTTGACGCGTTAGAAATGTACTCCCATGAAAATTAGATAAGGAGTGATGAATGTCGCAGTATTTCGACTTAACTTTTGATTAAATCCCGGAAGTAAATTTTTCATTTTGATGTCAATTGGATATTGCACTGTTAAATTTTTTGGATGACAGTTCCACTAAAATTTTAAGAAATTTCGTTCTAGAGAAAAACAAATTCATGAAAAAATCAATGGAAACTGTAAATTTCAGTTTAATTATTTCAAAAAGAATTCTAGAAATCAGAAAAATTCAATAAATTCAATTTTTAAATGTTCAATTAAATGAAAATTTAAAGTAATTAGATGATTAATTAACGTAATCAGGTGACAGTCTCAAGAATTCTCGACACCAATGACAAATTTCCATTACATTTCACAATTTTCACACGACAATGTTTACCATTCATTTTTCATTCTTCGTTTTCTTCATAAGCAACTGTCAACTCCGGTCCCTCTCCACCTGCTGACCCTCACCCCGCGAAAAAAGTAGCCGCCATCGCGAAGCAAAGATTGCAGCAGCACTCGTGATTCCTCAAAAATCCCCGAAAAACAAAACCCTTTGAATTTTTATCTCCGGCAAACGGCAATCGTGAATTTGACCAGCGTTCAACAGTCTGATGCGACAGTTTGTATTTCACCATTGGATTCATTCTCCAGCCCCGGGGTGTATTCGTAGGCAAAAAAACATCAAACTTCGGTATTAAGGCGGTGACGGTGAGGAGGGCCGGAGGAGGCAAAGAAACATGAGTGGGGGTATACACACGCAAGGCTAAGTTGCGTCTCAGCTCGCGCGGTATGTCCTAACGACGCATGAGCGATGCGAAGACGAGTATGAGATGGCATTTTTCGGTGAGCGAGTTGCGAGGGGGAGGAGGCAAAGAAGGGCCAAACAGTCGGCTTGCCTCCCCCCCTCAGCCTTATTTCTCCTTATTCTCCACCCTTTTGAATATCTGCTCCTGTGACTAAAGACTTGCGGTCTTTTTCCTCACCCAAATGACGAGAGATTATCGTGAAGCGTTCACTTCTTCTTTCACTTGTCCCCTCCACCCACTGGTCAAATATTTTTATCAGGATGTTCAGTACTAAATTAACTGGGGGAAAAAGCTCGAGATGATCATGTAGTCCATTATTTTGTTGAAATTTCACGTTGATAATCTGGGAATTTTCGACAGTACGTTTATGGGACATTTTTTTTAATATGTTGTTGACAATTTTTTTCAGTTCCACTGAAATTTAAAGGAATTTCGTCAACGAAGATCAGAATTTGATGGAGAAATCGATGAAACTGTAAATTCCAGTTGAATTATTCCATGAAATTTAACAGACATGAGGAAAATTCAGGGGAATATATTCTTGAATTTTCAGTTTAGTGAAAATTGATCTAAATTTGGCAATTCAACCCCATTAAATTCAGGAATTCGTAATTGAATTTAATTGGACTCCCCTGAAAATAACTATTCAATGGTCCTTCAAATTTAAAATTTTTCTACCAGTGCATGTCATTACTGATGAATGACATCTTTTGAAAATTCAAGCTGTCATTCAAATATGAATGATCTTCTTACTTGACCCCTGAGTTCTGTTTAATTTCCAAGAAGAGCAATAGGAGATTCCATGAATAAATTGATCCTTAATTGAATACAAATTCATGCAATTTCAAATTCACACCGCTATCATTTCCATTTCA